ACTCTTTTGCTCCTTCATTTCTTTCTTTTTTGTTTTCTTTCTTTCTTTTTTTTAAAGATTTATTTATTTATTATGTATATAATGTGCTGCCTACATGCCAGACAAGTGCACCAAATCTCATCATAGATAGTTGTGAGCTGTCATGTGGTTGCTGGAAACTGAACTCAGGACCTTTGGAAGAACAGTCAGTGCTCTTAACCTCTGAGCCATCTCTCCAGTCCCCATGTTTTGTTGTTTTTTGAGACAGACTTTCTCTTGGAATTAACTCTGTAGACCCAGGTGGTCCCAAATTCCCTACCTGCCTCTGCCTCCCGAGTGCTGGGACTAAAGACGTGTGCCCAGTGGTCGCCTGGGTTGACTAGTCGTTTGGATTACTGCCCCACTCACCCTGCATTGGGACCACTTGATATGCTTTCCAGCAGCTGAGGAAAGCCTGGATGTCATGTGGGGGGAGAAGAGGGAAGGGGATAGCCCTGTCTGTGAAGGCTGAACAGGCATGGCCATGAGGTTAGCTGGCCTGGAAAACATCTGGCTTTGGAACCAGACAGAGCTGGTCCTGTTATTTAGAGGTGTAGACCTTGGGACAAGTCTCTCAGCCTCTTGTTTCCTTTTATGTGTAGCAGTGTTTTGCCTGCGTATATGCTTGGGTACCATGTGCCTGCAGTACCTGTGGAGGCCAGAGAGGCTGTCAGAGTCCCCGAACTAAGTTAGAGATGCCTATAAACCACCACATGGGTGCTGGCAATCAGTCAAGGCCATCTGCAAGAACAGCCAGTGCTCTTAACTGCGGAGCCATCTCTCTACCCCTCAGCCTCTCTTTTGATTAGGTGAGAAATAATCTGGCATGCAGTAAGCATTCAATAAATATAAGTGTTAGCTGTCTGGAGGACAGATGTATGACTGAAGTAATAGTTATACAATCAGATACAGTGATGTAGGCAAACATAGGATGAACCAGGAACTTGGAAAATGGTATCAGGGACTGAAGAGATCAAGGGTTAAGACCTGACTGTTTTCATAGAGGGCTGGGTTCAATTCCCAGCATCCAAATGGTGACTCACAACTGTCCAGTCTCCAGAGATACGCCACCCCTTCTGACCTCTGAGGACACATGATGCACAGACATGCATGCAGGCAAAACACCCATGCATGTAAAAGAAAGAAAAGACGAAACGGCTGGGCGGTGGTGGCGCACGCCTTTAATTCCAGCTCTCGGGAGGCAGAGGCAGGAGGATCTCTGTGAGTTCCAGGCCAGCCTGATCTACAAGAGCTAGTTCCAGGACAAGCTACAAAACTACAGAGAAACCCTGTCTTGAAACCCCCCCCTCAAAAAAAAAAAAGAAAAGAAGAAACAAAGTAGCACAGCAACTGGGTGTGGTGCACCTGCCTTTGATCCAGAACACGGAGACGGAGACGCCAGGACTTCAAATGGGCCCTCCGGGCCACATAGCAAGACCTTGATAAAGGATGGTCAAAGGATTACTGTACCGTTTATTAACAAACAAGATCCGTGCACAAATATCACAAGACAAGTGGGAATCTGAACTGAGCCACCGAATGATCCAGGTGACGCAGTCGCTGCTTCTCAGGTCCAAAAGGGCCCTGTATCCCTTGGCCTCAGCCTTTCTTTCAGTCCTGTCCCTTCCCAATGAAAACTCCGCCCCTTGGGTCAAAAAAAACCACACTCCTCTCTATTGACTCGTGGACGAGTGACAGAAATTTGGTAACAGGACCCCATCTTCAAAAATCAAAACAAACAAACAAATAAATAATGAAAAAAGCAAAGTGGGGCCGAGCAATGGTGGCACATGCCTTTAATCCCAGCACTTGGGAGGCAGAGGCAGGCGGATCTCTGTGAGTTCGAGGCCAGCCTGGTCTACAAGAGCTAGTTTCAGGACAGGTTCCAAAGCTACAGAGAAACCCTGTCTTGAAAAAACCAAAAAAACAAAACAAAACAAAACAAAAAAAAAGTGGGTAAGTCAGAGGGGTTAGGAAGCAAACTTGAGCGAGGTAGAGAGAAGACAAGCCAGGTATTGTAGTAGGGACAGGACTTTGTCACGCAAAGGGATGGTTCAAAGCGTGGTTCAAAGGGAACACAAAATGCAGCTGCTCCATCCTCTGGGTCTGCAGAGTGAGATGGTCTGACCCTCAAGGCTCACACTACAGAGTGTGTGGATACAGTATGCAGACCACCTTTGAATAGGCCTGCCCTGTCTCAACCTGAGAAGGCCTCTCCCTTTCTGTGGCCTATTCTGTTGTAGGAACCACCAGCGTAAGGCGTGGGCATAAAAGTATTTACCAAATTGTGGTGGTAGTGGCGGCGGCAGCGGCCTATGCTTTTAATTTCAGCATTTGAGCGGCAAGAGGCAGGTGGACCTCTGAGTTGAGGCCAGTTTGTTTACAGCGTGAGTTCCAAGACAGCCAGAACTACACAGAGAAACCCTGTCTCAGAAAAAAGTATTTAGCATACCAGAACTGCTATAGAAGTTTTGACAGGGCCTTACTATGTAGCTCAAGTTAGTTTGGAACTCACAGAGATCTGCCTGCTTCTGCTTCCCTAGTACTGGGATTAAAGAAATAAAGGTGTGCCACTACACCCAAATATATAAAAGCTTTATAAACATGGAGGGCAGGCAAGTTCAGAGAGGGGGGTTGGGTGGGAAATATGATACTTCCCTTTCTTCTTGTTGGGAGGTGGTGGTGCACGCTTTTAACTCCAGCACTCAGGAGACAGAGGCAGGTGAGTTCAAGGCCAGACTGGTCTACGGAGTGAGTTCTAGGACAGCCAGGGCTGCACAGAGAAACCCTACCCTGAAAAAGTAAAGCAACAAACAAAAAAGAGGCTAGGCGATATGGGAAGTTTTGTGATTGGGACAGAGAATTCAAGGGAGTTTTGATTTCAAGGTGGAGTTGGAGGGAGAGCTGAGCTCGGTCAGGCAAATGCAGAACTCTGCATGGAAGTTCTGATTTCTTTTGAGTAATGACATAGTGAGCTGGCAGACCAGAGGTGACTTAACCCTGTATAGACTTGGTTGGTTGGTAAAAGCTGGCTTTCAATGGGGTCCAAAGAAATGTTTGTTTGTTTATTTATTTTGAAAGAGTTGTCAATTAATTTAAGTAGTTCCATGCCTTATTAACATCAGGGACAAGCAGGACCCAAGATTGGGTCCTGTCATTGGTGCTTGTGAAGGGGGAAATGTGGGGGCCAGCCATGATAAGCTAAGTATGGGCAGGTCACCCAAAGGAAATTCTTTACTTCCAACCATTATCACCTGCCAGAATAGAACTCGGCCATCGATAAATTTAATAAGAGGCCTGAGTTTACCCTGAAGCAGTGCCTTGTTGCAGGAAGAACCACAAGCTGAGATTACCTGATCACTGCCCAAGAACAGACCATCCAAAGGAAATGCCTAACATTCCAACAGCTGTAGATAGGATCACCTGCCAGCACACATTCACCAGGACACCCCTAGACAAATGCCAGCCAATCAGGGGTCCTGAACCTCAGAGATCCCTCACCCCCACCTTTACTACTATAAAACCCTATTCTAACTGAGCTCGGGGCTCTCCGTTTATTCCACTACGTTGGATATGCGGAGAGACAGAGTTTGCAAACTTAATTAAAATAAATGCTCTTTGTTTTTACATATGGAACTCGGTCTCCTTGTTGGCTTTTGCGGGAACTCCACTGATTTGGGTATAACAGAGAGGATTATCGGGGCACAGAAATTTTTCAGCGCCATGTTTCCTCTATATCCCTTCCCCCCGACCTCTCCCTTTCTCCTCTTTATTTTGTTAGTGGCCAGGCTGGCTTGGAACTTGACTGCTTCCATCTCTGGCAGGCGCTAGTGAGGATTACAGGCACATGCCACCAAACCCAGTTTATTTAGGGCAGGTCGTCACTTAGGCAAGCACTACCAATTGAGGGGCATGCCCGTCCATGAGTGTAGTCTGAGTCTGCTTTTTCTTTTTTTCTTTTTTTTAAATATTTATTTATTTATTCATTATGTATACAATATTCTGTCTGTGTGTATGCCTGCAGGTCAGAAGAGGGCACCAGACCCCATTACACATTACAGATGGTTGTGAGCCACCATGTGGTTGCTGGGAATTGAACTCAGGACCCTTGGAAGAGCAGGCAATGCTCTTAACCTCTGAGCCATCTCTCCAGCCCTGAGTCTGCCTTTTCTGCACTTGACAATGTTATGCCCAAATCCGCGAAGTCTCCGCAAAAGCCAACTACTCCTATTCTAAAGAGGCCCTCCGCAAGGGTCGATTAATCTCGCCATCCCCGTGCCTCTTTCTAATATACAGGGAAAGATTTTTTTCCTGATGTTTCACGCTTTACTTTGTCTATGAAATGGAGGCAGTCATGGGCTGCAGGCTCTATTTTGACAAGCTCAGAAAAATGCAGGACAGTAAATTACATCTACAGACAACAGCAAGAGGGTGTCAGAGCACCCCGAATTCTGCCTCTCAATTCCTGGTTGGATGTTGGCCTCTGGAGGAAATTGAGCAATCTTCTTCAGGGTGGCGTCAGAACCCCTAACCTATACTACTGTTGTCACCGATGCTCCAAAAACTTTTGGAGAAAAGAATGTGGTCGAAAAAGAGATCACTTAGCTCTTGCTGGCGGTCTCTGCAGTTACAAAACCTGTTCAACAACGAAATAGCCTGCGTTCTACTAAGCCTCTCCCTCTCCATGACGTCACGAACACGCCCCATCGTGTCATTGTCTGGTTACCTCTTTGGAAAGAGCTTAGTGTGGGCCAGACACATACTTGCTTTAGAGCATGCATTATAACGCACAAATAAAGACGCAGATTTGAAAATGCCTTCAACATTACTATGTTTCTTTTCCTTTCCGTTTGCAGGGCTGTCAGGAAGCGAATGTGAGGCCGAGCTTCCCACGCAGCGTCTACCTCGGCTCAGGCTGTCAGCCGAGGAGGCGGGGTCGTGACGTCACTTCTGGGCGGGGCTGGACGGTTCTAAGTGCGTGGTGGGGGGGGTGGACTCCTTGACAGGGGAACGTGAGGCTCTTTCCCTTCCGACTTCTCTCTGGCGCTTCCTCGGCGCGCGGCTTCGACTTGGGCTAAGTGGTGCGAAGAGGGGGCGGGGCACCTCCTCCCTTCTGCTCCTACTGGATGCGTCCACTTCGTGTTTGGCTGGAATTCAGGGGTCCGAAGTGTCAGCTTTAGGCCTGGTGAAGCGTGGTGACCCCATGGCCCCTCTCGGAGGAGCCCCGCGACTGGTGCTGCTGTTTAGCGGGAAGAGAAAATCCGGGAAGGACTTCGTGACCGAGGCGCTGCAGAGCAGGTGTCCGCGGGTGCAGGGAAGCCGGAGGAAGGGCGCTACCGCAAGTGGTGGGCATGATGGAGGGGCTCGCCGAGGGCAGGAGGGGCAGGGCAGAATGACGCAGGTCAGGAGACTGTAGATGGTAGATCCTCACCGTCAGAGAAACAACAGCCTGCACACGACCTCCTTAGAGAACCAGGGAACTGCCTCTGTAGAATTCTGAAGCTGTAGGTCTCTCTTCAAGAAACACAATTACGATTGCTACCAGGCATCTTCAGTGTGCCATTCCTGTTTCACGACCGTGTTGAGGTAACTGGTACAGATAAGGAGACTAAAGTGACAGCAAGGGTCTTCTCAAGACCCACGGCCTGAGTGGGTCCGTTCCAAAGAGAATCTGCCCAGAAGACCTTGTAATTGCAGGGGTTGATTGGGTATTCTATGCCAGGCACAATGCATTTAACCCACATAGCTTCTTTGTCAAGTAGTGTTATTAGCAATTCCACAAACGTGGAAGCAGGGGCCCTTAAGAACTAAAACCTGGTGTGTGTGTAATCGAGCTGCAGGGAAGGCTGATGCAGGAGAATCACTTGAACCTAGGAGTTCAAGGCCAGAGTGGATGAGAGTTTTGACTATTAAATAAATGTTGCCAGGCGGTGATGGTACATGCCTTTAATCCCAGCACTTGGGAGGCAGAGGCAGGCAGATCTCTGTGATCCTGGTCTAGTTCCAGGATAGGTTCCAAAGTTACAGAGGAGAAAGAGAGAGAGAGAGAGAGAGAGAGAGAGAGAGAGAGAGAGAAATGTTCAAAGCTGGGTAGTGGTGGTGCATGCCTTTGATCCCAGCACTCAGGAGGCTTAGGCAGGAAGATCTATGAGTTTGAGGCCAGCCTGTTCTACAGAGTGAGTTTCTGGACAGCCAGGGATACACAGAGAAACCCTGTCTCTAAAAACAAAATGACCAAAATCCAAACAAACACAAAAATGTTAAAATTTTCCGGGGTCATAAAGTAGCAAATTTAGAATTCAAATTGAGTTTTGTCTGCCTCCAAACAATACCTTTCGCTCATTCTGTCCTTCCTTTCTAGTTATTTGTTTTTACAGGTTTATTTATTTTGTGGGTATGTGTTGTGCTAGAATGTGTGTCTGCATTGTGTGTGCTCTTGGAGGCCAGAAGAGGGCATCTGATCCCCAGAACTGGAGTTACAGACAGTTGTGAGCCTTTGTGTGGGTGCTGGGAATGGAACCTTGGTCTGTGAACAGCAAGTACTAGGATTAAAGGCATTTGCCTCTATGTCTGGCCCACATCCATCTTTAAAAACATGGGTTCTGGGGATTTCACCAAGGTCATCAGGCTTATGAGGCTGGCCATTTCCCCAGCCCTGTATTTTTCTTAAGTGATAAGACATTCTAGGGAGCATTTTTTTGGTGGGTGGGAGGCTGGGGCTTGGGCTAGGAGAACAGAGAAGAGGGAGAAAGAAAAGTGGAGCTTTTCTCCAAGACCAATGTGGTGGTGGCACCAAGTTTTAGGTACCCTAGTTGTTCTAAGAGGTTCAGAGGAGCCCTGGCCAGAGGCCATTACCCAGATCCTTTATTACTAAACAATCATCATCAATTTCTAAATTTTATCAGTCCTTAGCTACAAACGTAGTCAGGAGCCTGGATGCTGGCGTTAGGCTGCTGGGGATTCATGTCCTGGCTCAGCATTTAGTGTGTGTTCTGCTAGACTTCTTACCTGGTCTGTTCTAGATTGCCTGCTGCTAAACGGGCGTTATATAGGATGGTTAGAGGAGTTAAGTGAACTAACAAATGAATTAGAATGATTCCTAGCCAGGAATAAAGTGTTGCTTATTTTTAATTGAGTTTTCATTACTAACAAATGGTACTTTAGTTAACTTTCTTCACTCAGCCTCAGTTACTTCATCTGGAACATGAGACGTGGGCTAGTGAGGTGGTTTAGCAGGTAAAGGCACTTGCTGTCAAGCCTGATTTGAAACTCATATGATGGAAGTAGGGAAATGACTTTTGAAAGTCGTCCTCTGACCTACACACACACACACACACACACACACACACACACACACACACACCAGAAAAAGGAAGAAGGGGAAGCACCTACTTCACCGTGTAGGTGCTTGCGCACACTGTGAGCATCTCCATGCCAGGTGCACTGAGGCACTGAGTAACTTAAAGGGAAAACTACTTTCAGTCAGTTTATCTCAGCATCTCTGTGACTCTGAAGAGAGTGAGTTTAGGGTCCCAGCAGTCATCTGATCCAGCCAGAATATCGCCAGGCCTGGAGTTTTCCATGGGACTTATTTATCGGTTCTACCTGTTATTTTCAGGGCTCTTTTATATTCTGTTGACTCTCATAGTAATCCTGTATGAGTGATAGGGCAGGTGATGTTATCTTCATTAATTTTTTGTTTAATAACTGAGCAAAGAGGATCAGGGAAGGGGAGACCTGCCCAATAGATTCTTCCAGTAGAAATGAGCAGCAGAGGTACTGGGCTCCCCTTCTAGACACGGGAGACTCTCGGCAGCTGAGGGCTAACTGGGTTCTGATTCCCTGTCCCATAGACTTGGAGGTAACATCTGTGCGGTCCTGCGGCTCTCTGGTCCTCTCAAGGAGCAGTATGCTCGGGTAGGTGGTGGCTTGTGGTGTCTGGGGGGCTGGGAGGAGCCTGCTCTTGGGTTTTGGAGTTGTGGCTGCTTGGGTCACTAGATATAAGACCCTACCTTTAGAACAGACAAACAAAAAAGAAAAAGAAAGGGTCCAGGAAAGGCGGTAGACACTTGAGTTGGCGAGGTGTGTTGACAAGTGGGCAGACACCAAGCTTCAGAGCGGTGTATTGCTGCCCTATGCAGTTTGTTTTTGTATAACACAATATCTGAGGCTGGGTACTTTGTACAGAAAAAGGAAACTCAAGTTCTGAAGACCCAAGAACGTGGTGTTGGCATCCACTTAGCTTCTGGTGGAAGAACAGTGGGCAAAAGGATTATGCTGTAAGAGGGGAGAGGCCTAGATCCTTTTTATAGTAACCTACATGTAGGGTGACCAGTCCAGTCTTACAAGAGTGGGAGCTCATTACTCCTCCCTGAGAGCCTCAATACCTGAGGCACCTTATCCAATACCACCATACTGGGGACAAACCATACTAGTAACTGAGAATCAGGACCATAAATGGTGGCGTATGCATTTAGTTTCAGAAGGCAGAGGCAGGTGGATCTCCATGAATTTGAGGCCAGCCTGGTCTACAAAATGAGTTCTGGGCCAGTCAAGGTTACAGAGTGAGACTCTATCTTAAAAAAAAAAAAAGAAAAGAAAAAAGAAGACATCATTTGCTCATCTATCCAGCTCTTCTTCAAGTACATATTATGAGGTGCTTGTCCTTTTGCGCTCTGTTCAGCTGCCAGGAATGCAGACCTGCCTTGCTGGAAGAGACACCATAGGAACTGTAGTGCTGGCTGCCGCAGGGAGGGGAGCAGGGGAGGGAAAGGGATTTTTATTGTAAATGAACACATGTCTTTTGAATTTTGGTTGTCGCTATTTTACTATTATTATTTTGAAACTGGGTCTCTGGCTGGTTTAGAGAATTCTTTGTAGATCAGGCTGGCTTCAAACTCACAGAAATCCATCTGCCTCTGCCTCCTGAGTGCTGGGATTAAAGGTGTATGTCACCAAGTCTGGCCTCCTTTGAATTTTAAATCATGTGGATAGAAAAAAATAAGATTATTGATTATTAAAATAGGATTAAAAATTAAATAGACAGACTTCAGGGCAAGCTGCAGAGGCAAGGTCAGGTTTTCATACAGTGAAGCCTTTGGTCACCGACGTTGGTTGCTGGTCCTAGTGCACCCTTCCGGGGACGTGTGCTCACCGCCTCGTGTTCAGAGGTGGCCTTAGTCTAAATCTCTGGACCTGCAGTCCTGGCCCCTCGGACTTCTACCAGCTCTGCTGACCTAGTCCTAGGGTAGCAGCTGAGGGACCACAGGGTAAGGAGATGCAGAGGTTTCCTTATTTCTTAAGGAGAATTCTTCCCAAATGAAGCTGGATGGAGAAGCTCCTCTAGCCCAGGAGGAAAGAAGGCGGGGTGGGGGTGGGACTGTAGCCCTCCTCAGTGGGGCCTGAGGCGCAGTTTCAAGCCACTGTCTGCTTCTGAAGTTCTCAAGCTAGGTTCGGGCCCCAGGCTTGGGGCTGGAGGGGAGTTCATTTTCCTTTAGTGCTGGGGCTAGAGCCTTTGACCTCAGAAACACTAGACAAGTACTCTGATCTACCACTGACCTATAATATCCCCAGACTCAGGAGTTGGCATTTCAGAAACTTCCATAGGGGCCCAGAGGGCTTGTTGGCCCTCGAGTCGGACGGCTCAGCAGTGCCCCCCCCCCCCCAGCACCTAAGGGAACCTCATGACACATTGATTTTCTCGGTTGGTGGGAAACACCAGTGGTGCTGGGGTCAGGATGCTCCTGAGCAGGAACAGTTCACAGGCAGGTCTGCTCACCTGCTGAAAGCCCAGGAGAGGGGGTTTCTCTCCTTCGAGTCAGTAGGGGAACCAGCACATGAACTGGATAATTTTTTTTAATTAAACATTATTTTATATGTATGAGTATTTTTCCTGATGTATATCTGTGTACTACTTGGTGCCTGGTGCTCTCGGAGGCCAGAAGAGGCCATTGGATTGCCTGGAACTGGAGTTACAGACATTTGTGGGCCACTGCGTGAGGGTGAGAGATTGAACCCAGGTCCTCTGGGTGAGCCATCTCTCCAGCCTCTGGGTGATCTTATTTTTTTCTTTCTCCTCCTTTTTTTTTCTTTTCCTAGCTAGGGTTTTACTGTGTAGCCCTGACTGCCCTGGCATTTGCTCTGCAGACCAAACTGGCCTCGAACTCAGAGATTTGCCTGCTTCTGCCTCCCGAGTGCAGAGATTCAAGGTGTGTGCCACCACCACCCAGCTCTGAGTGATATTTTTGAGAACCCTTCCTGTTCTGGAGCCATCTGGATGGACGCTTTGCTTGTCATTGTCTCTGGAAAGGGGAGAGCAGGGCTAGAAGCAGTTCCCTGGGGGTCAGGGTATCCTCTGGTTGCTCAGAGCCAAATAGAGTGATGCTGTTTCAGCCAAGTGCCAGGGCCTTGGGGATAGAGAAGGCTGAGGGGCGGGGGAGATGTATCTCTGGGGTTTGCGATGGAGGCAGATGACGCCGGAAGGATACAGGACTTCTGATTGCAATGCAGCTTTGCTTTGGTTTTTCCAAATTTCCTGCTTTGATCATAGGCCAATGCCAGGGCATGCAAACTAATTTCAAATTTCAAGATTAGTTTAAGTCAGAAATAGTTGGGAAAACGAAACCCTAGGAAGAGAAAAACTAGACCACACGTTTCAGACATTTTCTGGAATTATCCTAAGAGCTCCAGCTTTGGGCGTCTCGGGTGCCCCTTTGCTGAGCCCTCTTCTTGCGGCCGTTGTCATGCTCCAAGCTGGCTGGTGCCCGTGAAGGGAGGCGGTGCCAGGCAGGACTGGTTCTTCTCCGTTAAGGACCATGTCACAGGTGGACTGTACTTCCTGCAGGAGCATGGCTTGGACTTCCAGCGACTCCTGGATGCCAGCACCTACAAGGAAGCCTATCGAAGGGACATGATCTGCTGGGGAGAGGAGAAGCGCCAGGCCGACCCAGGCTTCTTCTGCCGGAAAGTTGTGGAAGGCGTGTCCCAGCCTATCTGGGTAAGAGGCCTCAGCCATGGCTGACAAAATCTGTCTTCCCAGGCCTCTCCTGTGGCCATTTCTCATCTTCACTGGCACCTTGTGTCCAAGCCTCTAACATCTCAATAGTCTTCTTGTTGGTGTCTCTTGCCTCCGGGAGCCATTTATGTTCACAAGCCTGAGTGACTTTTCCAGAAGTAAACCATATGTTACTGGTGTACCTAGAAAGCACTGGTGGCTTCCCACCACTCCCGTGAACTAAGCCCAAGCTTTCATATAATTTTTGGGGTCTTGATGCAGCTCCTACATCCTTTCTCCTTCTAACAGCTATAGCCACCAGCTGATTATTCTTCTTCTTCTTCCTCCTCCTCCTTTTTAGATCAGGCTGGCCTTGAACTCACAAAGAGCTGCTTGCCTCTGCCTCCCTAAGTACTGGGATTAAAGGTGTGTGCCATCACTGCCTGGCCACAATCATTTGCCAATCATGCTGCTGCTGTTTCTTTCTCCTCCTCCCCCCCCCCCCACCAGCCCTGGCTGGCCTGGAACTCACTTTGTTGACTAGGATGGCCCCAGACTCACAGAGATCCGCCGCTGCCTCCTTAGTGCTGGGATTAAATGTATCTGTCACCATGCCTGGTGGGTCACAACTTTGTGTCTTCTTCCTGCCTGCCCTTTCCTGAAGCATTAGTCTAAGTAATCTTAGTCAATAAAAACCTGGAAGATGAGAGAACCGGGAGCAGCTGCCACTTGCTTCCTACCTGTCTCCTTCTGCATCCAAAAGGCTGAGAGCCCGTCTACACCCCACCTTGTCTCTTCCTGTCTCCACCTCCTGAGTGCTGGGATTAAAGATGCAAGCCACCACTGCCCAGCTTCTGTGGTTAACTAGTGACTAACTCTACTCTCTCATCTCCAGGCAAACTTTGTCAGAATACAAACAAAATATACAACACTTTCCTGCCCTTTTTACCTGGTTTACTCCAACAATTTTCATGTCTCCTCTATGGGGGAAGCTTCCTGGGTACCTACCATTCCTTCCCCACCCCCTTCTCCTAAGACAGGGTCTCATATAGCCCAGGCTGGCCTTGAATCATCCACTTAGCAAAGATGACTTTGAGCCCCCATTCTCCTGCTTCCACATCCCCAGGTCTTAAGTAGCCCACCGCACTCTGTTCTGGACCTTGCTTATTCATTCACATGCTAACTGCGGAGTGTTTCCTTGTGCCAGGCACCTCTCCAGGTTATGAGGATGTCCTGAAGCAAAATGAACGCAATGAAGACTCTACCTTCAAAGAACTTAGTGTTTCAGCTAGGATTGGGGGAGTCGGGTACTGAGTAAGGGTAGATGATGCCATGCAGAGCAGATCAAGACAGATGGGGTGTGGGCCGGGGGAACCTGCTATTTAAGGGCCTCAGAGGAGGTGAGGTCGGAGCAGAACCTAAAGGAAATGAAGGAGTGAGCTGAATGGGTGGTTGGGGAATTTGCTTTCTGGAAAGAGGGACCAGAATGTGAAGACTGGAGAGGGGCCTGTTTGAGAAACAGCCATTGTAGTGGCTGTGGGAGGTTAAGGGCAGACCTTGTAAGGCTTTAGAAGAGTCTAGAAGTCACTGGAGAGTTCTGAGAAAAGACACAGTTTAGGAATTAAAAGGCAGTTTGGGGTTCAGGCCAGTGGTAGAGCATGTTTTAATATCTGGAGGTAGTTGTTGGTAGGAGTGTGGTTGATGACTGAGGCTGGGGAGCTGGCTCAGTGGATAAAGTCCTGAGGTTTAGATTCCCCCAAACCTACATTAAAAAAGCCAGGTGGGGGCTGGTGTAGTATCTCAGTGTAAAGGCATTGCTTCCAAACCCGAAGACCTGAGTTTGATCCCCAGGACCTACATGATAGAAGGAGAAAATTGACCCCTTTGAATTGTCTTCCCCCACACACACTGTATTTAATTTTACGTTTTATTTTGTTTTTGTTTTTTTGAGACAGGATCTCTCTGTATAGCCTTGGCTGTCTTGGAACTTGCTCTATAGACCAGGCTGACCTTGAACTCAGAGATCCTCCTGCCTCTGCTTCCTGAGCACTGGGATTAAAGGTGTGTGCCACCATGCCTTTTTGCCTAGCAAAAAGGCAGGTGAGCATGAGAATGATCAAGGAAGACACCAATATCAACCTTAGCCTCCACACATGTACATATACACACAGGCACATCCGCTTATACTGCACATGTGTCTACACGTGTGATATGCATTCATTAACGCATACTATACACAGACACACACATTCCCACACCTGGGATTATTAGATGTGGTATGCATGCCTGTAATCCCAGCAGGGGCATTGGGAGTTGGAGGTCAGCCTTAGTTACTTAGCAAGTTTGAGGTCAGGCAGGGCTACGTAGTGAGACCTTGTCCCAAAACCAAAGGATTTAGCAAACTTGCTCTGGCTGCTGGAGGGCAGGTCAGAGCTGAAGCAGAGACGCCTGGTAGAGGGGCCCAGGTGACAGGCCAGTGAGTGGCTGAAGCCAGGGGCTGTGAGAGATTTGGGAGGGGGCCACTTTTACATGGACTTTAAGGATAGAGCCGGCAGGAGCGGGGTGGGTGGTGGAGGACAAGGATTTGTTCTGAGCAGCTGGACAAGTTGTTTTCTGAGACAGGAAGGGTCAGGATTGGAGAGTTCAGGAGCTGAGGAGCTCCGTTTCGGCCATTCTGGGCTGACATTTCTGTCTGTACTGTGGTCCCTGGTTGTTGGAGGAGCTGCTGTGTGTCTTTGGTCTCGCCTGCTGTATGGTATGAGCCAGAGCTAAGAGAGCAGGGCAAGGTGTGTTTTGTTTATGACTCGTCCTCAGTACCTGGCACAGTGCCAGTGCATAGTGAGCGCTGGCAGTGCCCCTTAGAGCTGCACCATTTCTCTGGCGTCTGTAGCACTGCCCCTGTACTGCCCCCCACCCCCAGCACTTTGTCCTAATGGTCCCCTGTCTCTTCTCTGCAGCTGGTGAGTGACACACGGAGGGTGTCTGACATCCAGTGGTTTCGGGAGGTCTATGGGACCGTGACACAAACAGTCCGAGTCGTAGCGTCGGAGCAGAGCCGGCAGCAGCGGGGCTGGGTGTTCACACCGGGTAAGCTGCAGATGGCGCTCAGCCTGAGGCTCAGCACTCAGCTCCGCCACCCAAGGCAGGTCAGGTTCCCAGGCTGTCTTCTTTGACTGTTGTGTCAAGGCCAGTAGCTTCTGGCCAGGCCCCGTTCTTGTGGCTCTTAGACTTTGCTTTCCAACCTGGTGGGGGCTGAGTGACTGTGAGCAGGCTGAACAAACCCTGTTTCTCTTTAATGGACAGATCAGGGCGTAGCCAGGAAGTTTTCCAGGGCCTCGGTGGTGGCAGCTCAGGACCTGTTTTGCAGGCAGTTCTGAAGTACAGCTCAGGCCTCTGCCCTGCCTTGGATACTGTTCCTCGGATACACTCAGATTTTTCTTTTTCAAGACAGGATTTCTTGGTGTAGTCCTGGCTGTCCTGGAACTCGCTCTGTAAACCAGGCTGGCCTTGAAGGCTTGAACTCACAGAAATTCGCCCGCCTCTGCTTCCCCGAGTGCTGAGACTATGCCTAGCAATACACTCAGATCTAATGATCGTGACTGCTACTAACATTGCATCTCCTGGGCGCTCTGGCAAGCCAGCCTGTGTTTGATGTGTTTTGGTTTTAAAGACAGGGTTTCTCAGTAGCCATGGAGCCAGTTCTGGAACTTGCTTTGTAAACGAGGCTGGCCTTGAACTCCCAGAGATCCATTTGCCCCTGCCTCCCGAGTGCCCAGTGTATGTTTGGCGCTGTATACGCTTTCTCCTACTCATGTTACAGCTGCCATGAGGATGCTGCTGTTCCTGTACTCGTGGCAGACGAGGGCCAAGGCTCTTTCTCAAGGCTCTGAAGAGTGGGAGGAGGAGACATTCTCACCCCACTTCCAACCCTGAGGACACAGCCTCCCAGCAGGCCCCAGTCCAGCATGAGCTAACCTGGCCTGACAGTGTGAAGCCCTCTTGGATAGTCTGTTGTTTTCCATGACCCAGTCTTCTCTCTGTAGGCAGCAGCAAGGGCAGAGTGATTTCTCCAGGGATTGCCTGGGAGCTCAGCTGGTAGTGGGAGGCCACAGCCGAACTGCAGAGGTTCTCAGAGGGGAGGCACAGGGTGGGTGCCTGGTATGGGCAGGGCTGGGGCCTGACTCTTCTGCTCTTTCCCCCAGGGGTGGATGATGCCGAGTCAGAGTGTGGCCTGGACAACTTCGGGAGCTTTGACTGGGTCATTGAGAACCATGGAGATGAGCAGAACCTGGAAGACCAGCTGGAGAACCTGCTGGGGTTTATTCGTGCCAAACTTTAGTGATCGATCCAGTGTCAGGGGTGGGCAGAGACTGCTGCATTGCGGCGAGCCCTGGCTCTGCCAGATGTGGGTCCCCAGTCTTGGCTGAGGCCACAGAGCAGACAGTCTGAGGAACAGGAGGACGCTCATGGGCAGCGGACACGTTTGGAAACCTCTGGTGTACTGCCTTCGCTGGAGAGGTTGCCCTGCCTCAGTTTTGCTGCAGGCAGGAACATTACCGTGCCCATGGGTGGCCAGCCATGCTGAGCTGGATGTTTCGCTTCCCTGTGCGTATGCTCTCGGCTCTGGAATCCTAATAAACCTCCTTGGAACACAGCTCAGAGCTAGAGACCTCGTATTTCCCTGATTTCTCAGAGAAGCTGGGGTGTGGGGGTTGATGTGGGTCCCTGCTCTGCCTCGCACCTGGCTGGAGCGGATCCCGCAGAGGTGGACCTGAGCCTAAAGCCTGGGACAGACCTCCCCATCTCTTTTTGTGAGACAGGTTTCTCTGTGTTGAAGCAGAATGCATCAGAACATGTCAGATGGGGGGAAATACCGATCAATCCCATACTAGCTCCAAATAGGGTATACTAAGGCTTTTCTTTATTAAAAGGGAAAACTCAGGGAATGGGAATGGAGGCCCGATGTTCAGGTGTGGAGCACGAGCGAGCGGGCTGGACCATGGCTTTTTGATACCCAAAGCCACACCTCATCCTGGTCCGGCCTCTCAAAAGCTATTGGCTGAAGGAGGTTCCCTATCATCTCCCCCACCCCTTTGTCTAAATAAGAGAGTTCCAAACCCAATACAAAACTATATACAATAAAAACAAATATCAAGTATAAAAATTAAAATTGCAACCAGCATAAACAATATTTTTATTTATTTTAATTATAATTAGCAAATGTTTCAATAATCATTCTATCCTGAGGGGTCTAAGTTTTATATTAGAAATGGCTTGACTAAATCATAAGAGGACAGTAACTACAACTATCTGATCTTCAGCCCCACTGAAGGCCTGAGAAGGGAGATGATATTACTTGAGTAGGCAGGAAGTGTAATCAAGAAGTTTCTAAAATGTATAGTAGGTGACAGAGACAACTGGCTACCTCATTTGCAACATTGGAGCAGCCAACTTTGGCTAAGGCCTAGAGTAACTGACAGACCATTTTCAGAGGCAGGAAAAATTTTCAAAACTTTCTTACCCTGTGTTGGCAAGGTTTGACAGTCTTTTTTTTCTTATATCCTGCTTGTCCAGTTGACATCGTGCACTTTGTCAGTGGTTGAGGCATGGGCAGTTCCTTGCTCAAAGGCCAGTTTTGCCAAGAAGAAATAAGCTCCAAGTGGAGAGTCTTTGGTGCTCAACATTCTGTCGGGAATAGATTGGTGCTGCCAGGAGCAATCGTGTCTCACTTCAACAGAACCCTATGCCATGTTCTACAATGAAGTGGTTGAAGATTATCTATCTATGCAGAATGAAATCTCTGTGTATCCAAAGAACCTGATTAGTCTAACTATAAGTATGACAAACATGAATGACTATTGACCTATAATACTTAATGCCTCTATAACCTAAAAACTAAAACTTCATATTAGAATATTAAAGAATCTCTAAACAATTGTGCAGTAAATGAGGACAGTGACCTAAAAATGTAAACAATGTATGTAGAAATATATAAGGCAATATGATAAATATATCCTAAAATTGTATCAATATACAAAATGTCTTAAACAGAGGTAGAAACTTGCATGTATACTATCTGACAGAATAACTTTGTATATGTGTACAAATATTGTAAACAGAAATAGCATATTCAATATAACAAATATAATGTGAACTTGTATCAATATACAAGAATTTATACCAATGTAAATTGCCCATAAATAATAGCTCATAAGTATTCACTCTATTACTCACTATTATTATTTTTTTTAAATATTTATCTATTTTATTATGTATACAATATTCTTTCTGCGTGTCTGCCTGAAGGCCAGAAGAGGTCACCAGACTCATTACAGATGGTTGTGAGCCACCATGTGGTTGCTGGGAATTGAACTCAGGACCTTCGGAAGAGCAGGCAATGCTCTTAACCTCTGAGCCATCTCTCCAGCTCCTATTATTATTATTTTTTTCTTTTCTTTTTTTAAAAATAATTTACTTTATTTTATGTGCATTGGTGTAAAGGTGTCAGATCCCCTGAAACTGGAGTTATAGACAGTTATGAGCTGCCATGTGGTTACTGGGAATTGAACTTGAGTCCTCTGGAAGAGCAGCCAGTGCTCTTGACCACTGAGCCATCTCTCCAGTCTCCTCACTATTATTATTATTAGTATAAGTAAGCTCACATTAGTCTACCTGTTATTCCATTCAGTTTCCTCCTTTTTCTTTTCAAAGAGATCCCCGAGCCTATATAATTTCCACCCCAACCCTCAGCCCCCAACCCTATACCAGTAATAATCAACACCTAATTGATGTCCCTAACCCTGAGGACAGACTTCACTGGGAGAAGGGCCATCTCGTCTTCCATTACTTCCAGCTGTCACGGGGATATTGTTCTTTCTGTGTGAACCCGTAAAACTAAAATGATGGTTAAGTTTCAAGATTACTGTTCAGTATAATTGCAAATGGTCCCTGAATAGTCGATAGGGTTTTTCTGAGGATCCTATTTGGAGTTCTGGCCAGAATGTTGTAAGAAAGTGCACCATTTCAGCTAACCAAGTTGGAACCATCTTGAGCAGCTGGTACTTAAAACTGGTCTTATAGTAGTGCTGTCAGCATCATGACATCATATCAACCAGGTGGAGTGGTTGTTGTGGGACCCCATCTCCATCCTGGAAACTTCAAAGATTGCTGCAGGAAAAGATTATTGTATGACCTGTAGGGTTATTTGATAAACCTGTAATGTGCTTTATATTATAATAAGCAAAACACTCTTTCATTTTCCTAGAGACATAAGCTGGACCGTTATCTGTCTTTATTTGTGCAGGTATACCCATGATGGCCATAACTTCTAATAAATGTGTAATTACTGAATCAGTCTTTTCTGAGCTCAAGGCAGTTGCCCATTGAAAACCTGAATAAGTGTCAGTGGTGTGGTGAACATATTTTAATTTTCCAAATTCTATAAAGTAGAACACAACCATCTGTCAGATTTAATTCCTCTGAGTACCTTTTGGCTTACTCTTTGCAGGTAGCAGTGTTTGGTTATAGAAAGAGCAAGTAGGACATCTCTTTATAATCTCCTTAGCCTGTTGCCATGTAATAGAAAACTCTTTTTTTAAACCTTTGCTATTGACATGATGGTTTTTTTAAAAGCAAAGAGCCTTTATTCTTTTAAAAATATTTATTTATTCATTTATTTATTATGTATACAATATTCTGTCTGCAGGCCAGAAGAGGGCACACCAGACCTCATTACAGATGGTTGTGAGCCACCATGTGGTTGCTGGGAATTGAACTCAGGACCTTTGGGAGGGCAGGCAGTGCTCTTAACTACTGAGCCATCTCTCCAGCTCCCATGATGGGTTTTTTTAAATGAAATTCTGAGATCTTCAGCACACTTCCAATCAATAATCAATCGATTACTGCATTACCTTGTGCTAGAGGACTTGGCAGACCCGTATGGGATCAGATGTGTGTTATGTATATGGGACAAAGCTTATTCCTGATTATATCTTGAACCTGAATGAATAATGAAGTCAATTCTGTATCATACAGTTTAAATTCAGCGCCTCCAATATGCAAGACAACTCTTTCTGCATATTGTGAATCAGTAACTATATTGAGAGGTTCCTTAATACCCCTTATTACCATGAAAATAGCGTATAGCTCTGCCTTTTGGACGGAATATAAGGGCTTTGTTCCACCTTGTTTAAATCTTCTGGTTTGTAACCTGCCTTTCCCAATTTATTTGCATCAGTATAAAATGTACAGGCTCCATTTATTGGTGTGTCACATACAATTTGGGTAAGAATCCAAGTAGTTCTATTTATAAGGTTAATTCTATCACTTTTAGGATAATTGCTATTAATCTCTCCCAAAAAAATTAGCATAAACTCTTTGCCAGGGTTCATTGTCTTCCTATAATTTTTTAATTTCATCAGCAGTAAAAGGTGCAATAATCTCTGCTGGGTCTATACCTGCTAGTTGACAAAGTCTCAACTTTCCTTTTATAATTAATTCAGAGACCTTTCCCATACAAGTTTTTAATTTTTCACTTGGTTTATGTGTTAAAAAGATCCATTCTAAGATAATATCTTCCCTCTGCATTAAAATTCCTGTAGGAGAAATTCTGGATGGCAATATAACTAGAATGCAATTAAGATTAGGATCCACCCTATCAGCATGAACCTTCCGTAATTTCTCTTCAACAACTGTTAATTCGTTCTCAGCTTCAGATGTTAATTCCATGGGACTATTTAAGTCTTTGCCACCATCTAAGGTTTTCTTTAAATGAATTATTCGATCAGGTGCTATCCAATAGTTGGTTGTACACTGGAAATGTCTCCTAACAATCTTTGAGAGTCATTAAGAGTCTGCAATCAGTCTCTCCTAATTTGTGCCTTTTGTGTTCTAATTTTTTATAAACCTATTTTATAACCTAAGTAATTAAAAAGATCCCTCTCTGTATTTTTTTCAGGAGCAATTTATAATTCCCATTTTGCAAAACTTTCTTTACTTCTTCAAACATTCTAAAGTATCTGCATTTGAATCAGCAAAATGTCATCCATGTTATGGTAAATTATAGACTTAGGAAATTGCTTATGTATTATTTCCAATGGCTTACTTACAAAGTATTGGCACAGGGTGGGGCTATGGAGCATTCCCTGTGGGAGGACGGTCCATTGACATCTCCTAGTAGGCTGAGAATTATTATTATAAGTAGGCACTGTGAAGGCAAATTTTTCTGTCCTTTCCTTGTAAAGGTATAGTGAAGAAACAATCTTTTAAATTAATAACTATGAGAGACCTAGTTATTGGTACTAGAGAAGGCTTAGGAATTTCAGATTGTAGAGGGCCCATAGGTTGAATAACCTCTTAGATCTGTCACCATTCTCCATTTATCAGATTTTTTTAAAACAACAAATACAGGAGAATTCTAAGGGTTGGTAGATTCTTCAGTATGGTGAGCATCTAGTTGCTCCTGTACCAGCTGTTGTAAAGCCTGCAGTTTGTCTTCTGTGACAGGCCATTGTTTAACCCATATTGACTTCTCAGTTAACCATTTTGAAGGTAGGGCTGTTAGTACCTCTGAAGGTTTGCTAGTTGCTTTGTGATTTTGTATAGCCTGAATGACTGATGACCTTTATCTATAATATCTTATAATATCCTTCCCAG